AGGGCTGGTTATTGGGTACAAGTAAAGTTGTTGATATGATAGAAAAACTGTGTTGGAATGGAGTTAGGTTTGAATGGTACTGGTGGCTTGAGAAAAAATGAAAATTGGTGCTACATGGGTTCGACTAGGTGGAAAGGTTAAGGCGAAGGTTTCATTCAGTGTTTGAGAAGGGCTGATGAAAACTGAAAATGAGGTTATTGGGCTAGTTCTGGTGTAGAGAAGAGGTTAGGATGTTTTTGGATGTATACGAGGTGTAATCCAGGGTTCTAATGGTGCACAGGGCTAAGAGATGTGGGTATAAAGGGACCATGTTGAGGGCTTTAGTCAAGGGTCATGATGAGAAGCTATAGTCTCAATGCCAAAGTTGTCGGATGAGATCGAGAAAGTCTAATTCCAGCTTGGATGAAATGATGATGAAGGTACGAGTGAAGGGCCTAGGGAATTAGTGTGAGGGTGGCTTGTTTTAAAGTGGATTGTTGAGGATGGTACTAGCTTCTTAGGTTTGAGATGGGTGTTGGCTCGCATAGGTAAAGGCTTTAGGTTTAGGGATTTTTTTAGAAAAGGTTTAGGTGTGGACTTGAACTGGTGATGGTGTTCATGGGGCTTTCACGGTTAGGTTGCAAGCTGGGGTCATGTCGGTTGGTAGGCTATAATGATAGATGTCAGGGTTGGGGCTATAAAATTGGTTGTGAAAATCAAAAGGGTCCAGTGCCAGGGGTTTTGGAGTGGATAAGGTGTATGGATGGGTGCTTCATTCTCTGTTGGAGGGTCGAAGGTATTGGTCGAATAAAGGTCTAGCTTGGGTTAAGGGACAATGAAGGCACAAGTTGCAGGTGCAAGGTTTTTCTCGGGTGAACGGCTGGGAGATGTAGGAATGGAGGGACCATGTTGGGAGCTTTAGTCAAGGGTTGTGATGAGAGGCTTGGTGGGGTAAGGAGCTTGTCAAAGGTATAAGGAACTATGGGAGAAAATGGTTTGATTACTTAAAACAAGGGTTTTGAAAAGAATCGGGTCTGGTTGCATTTAAAGGGGGTCCTTGAACTTGAAAATTTTTCCTCTTCCCTCGTGTTGGACTTCGTTGTTTTTTTTTTTTTTTATCTATGAATGCCTATAAAATAGTCCAAAATTTTTAGAATCAAAGTAGTAGAGCTAAAGCTGAGGGTTGTAGAGTACAGTATGAAATGGAGTAGGGTGTTGAGGCTGAGCGTGCAGAATCTGAAAATTGGTAGTGGCTGTAGGCCACTTCTTCCTATATTTTTTTGTTTTTTTCCCTTTTTTTGCTTAATTGTAATAATAATAATAATAATAATAATAATAATATATTTATTTATTTATTTGTATATATAAATATTGTAAATTTTTAATTAATTTAATTAATTCTAAAAAATCAATAAAATCAAAAATTATTAATTCAGAACAAGTTCAAATAAACTCGATTTGATTTAATGCCTAAACCGGCTCAAATAAAAATATGTAAATTGATATTAAAAAATGAAATAAATTCGAATTAACCTAGATAAAATTAAGTGCCTATAGATCTCTTTTATCAATTATTATTAAAAGTTTAACTAAATATATTATCTCTTAAGCACAAAAGTTTTAACTAAAAAATCAAAATTATCTACCTTTTCTGGCACGTTAAACATCCACGTAGATGTTTGAATGAGGTTGAGATGGTGGATTTCATCGTATTTTAATGGAAGTGTATGAAAAATGAATGAATATAAAATATTTTGAAAATATAGTGAATTCAAAATTTACAAAAATTACTATTAAAAAAACCCTAGAAGCTGGCTAAGAAAATTCACATTATAGGGGTTACCACTAATATATTTTCAAAACAAGCCATAAGAACAAAATTAAGGAGAAAAAAAGCTTCCCAAGTTATAAAATCCTTTCCTCTTAAAAACTACTCTTTTCATTTCAAAATTATTGTCTTTTATTGATTTTTTTTTTTATCAAATTAACTCAATTTGATCATTTTTTTAATAAAATTATAAAATTTTAAAAATTTCAAAATAAGATTTCAAAATTTTGATTTCTAAATATTTTAAAACATATTTTTTAAAATTTTAATTTAATATAATATTTTTAAAAATAAAAGTTAAAGTTGAATTATTTTGATAAAAAAATTAATAAGAGACAATTATTTTTAAACTAAAGAGTATTTATAAATAGTTTTATTAATGTCAAATATGAAAAGAAATCTGTTGGGCTGAGTAGATATAAAAAGTGCGAAAATTTAGGGTGTTGGTTATGGCTTCTGCACAAGCTATGATACTTCAATTATTCCTACGCAGGCCTTGCTGTGACTAATACTGAAAATATATTAATTCTTCAACATATTTGGTGTGGGTGTTTATATATATATATTAAATGTGTTATTAGTATTTTTAGATAAATTTATATTGACAGTATATCAAATATAAATATTTATATATATATATATTCATATATATATATATATATATATATATGAGTAGGAATCACTTACATTAGTGTAATTCTTATAATTTTTTTATCATTGAATTAAAATTATTAAATTTAAAAATATTATTTTAATTCAAATGAATCATAAATTTAATTTGAATATAAAAGTCTAAAAAAATGTAAGAGTTATATTAATGTAAACGTATCCCTTTGGACGTATATAAATCGAAATATAAATATAGGACATGCATGAATTTTAAATATAGAAAATACAAAAAATTGGAAAGAAAATAGAATATATTATTAATTGGCGTGAAACTAAAAAAGAAAATAAATGAGAATAAAGTAGAGGTGAATGAAAACAAGAAATATCAATTACCAACAATCATAAATTATTAATAAAATACTGAACTCTTACTTTTGGTAACCTTCAAGTATTAGGAAAACAAGAGTTGACCATGCAGTGCTACACTTTCAGTGTGCGAGACAAAATATGAACAATGCCACTTTTAGTTTGCCCCACGAGAGCTGGTCAAAAATAAAGTTTGCCGACGAATTTTTAGTTTCTTGTCAACCACAACGTCCCACGTGCAGCTTAAGAAAATATTTTATATTCCTTTTTCTTGTTTTCTCTTTTTGCTTTTACAAAAAAGTTCAAAACCTAAGATAAAGGAATGCATTGAAGGTGCTAAAATTTAAAGATTGGATGCTATTTCTTAAAATGTTTATATAAAGCAATTAGATGAAGTGTCACTTTCTCATGTTTTTATTCCTTTTTCGCTCATCAATTTGATTGAATCATGCCAGCACGCCCTTCCAAATAGAGATTGATTAATGATATAATTGGCCAAAAATTTAGGGCCTCCGATGTTCACATGGGCTGTGGGGAGAGCATTTGCCTCAAAACTTATTAACTCAATCACAAATGAGGCACGTTGATGCTTCCAAAGCATCTGATTATATTACCAAAGGCATAATCCTTCACTGGATGCAGACACAAGTATGAGACTGGTGTCACCGAAAAGGACACCCAATGGAAGAAAAAGAAGCAAAATCTGTTGATCAGGAGAGGGAACCAAAGAAAAGAGATGAAAAAGAGGAGGGGCTAAGCCAAGAAAGTCATGGACATCCACAAGAACAAAAAAAGAGAATTTAAGCCACCTATTAATATTCTTCCTCAAATTCTCAGTTTTTAGGGTCTTTACTTATGGTTCCACCTATGATTTGATGTTCCACTTTGTCTATAAATTAATTAAGTTGCACCGACATTATCTTCATCTCGTTCTTTTTTCTTTGCTATCCCTGCCAAACAAAGCATTCCTATGGCTCCCCATGCTATCATGGAAGTGCATCCAACCCTCATCGATCATTGGAAGACTTGTTGCAATTCCATCCATATCCAGAAAAGGAAACATAAGGGGATGACAAAAAAAGGTGCTTAATGCTTTGGCTTTCACACTCCATGCATGTTCACTGCTCAAAGATATGGGAAATTCCATTTCCATGGTCTAGTACTGATGCTTTTCCAAACAGTTTCCTTCATATCATGACAAGACCTTTAAATGAAACACCACCCCTAGTTAGCTGTCATTCTTAGAAATTAAAAAAAAAATGTCTATACCAATTTCACTCACCTCCCCCCCCCCCCCCCAAAAAAAAAAAAGGTTTTCGTCACTTCGAAACCTACTAGGAAGTATTGCCGAAGCTTCAACAGAAACTAGTTGAGCTTCATAATTTGATTTAGTTTTGATGGGGATGCACTTCGAATTTTTTTTAAAAAAAAGGACCTTTAAACCCAAGTTGAATATTTTAAGTTGTCCATTTTCAGAGATTCCCTGCATCAATTACTTAATATTTTATGTTAGTTAGTTAAAATTAAGTAGTATGCTCATGGTACAACAGTCAATCACACATGAATCAATGCGTGGAACCAACTTAATTTAGCAGTAATTATTGATGTTAATTACTTATTATCAGCCAAAGCAAACCAGGCTGCTTAAAAGGCTAGGAGATATATAATCTGCAATCAATGCATTGGAGAGTTCAGTTTTCATTTCATTTTTCAGCAGATAGATCAGTGCATGAATTAATTTGTCCATAAAATCTGACAACATAGTGTTTACTAATGAATCATTGAACTCTTCAATAGATTGGAGAAATGAATCAAACCCCAAGTTTTAGTTCCAATCAAATTAATGCTAAACTTTGCAAAGAATAGTGCATGCCAGTAATTTACATGTCTGTGTCTTTTTTCTCAAGCAGACATCAAAGTGAGAAGCTAACTATAGTTGTCCACTTCATTTTATAATTGAGATCAAGGCATTGGTGTGGTAAAGACAAGGAATTCATTATTCATGTCTCATATTAAAAGCTTGCAAGACTTCTTCAATGCCCCACCCTCCACTACTTCTATAGCTATGCCTTCTTCTTTTCCCATCTCATTGTTTCAACCACTAACTTAGTTCTTTCTCTCTCTTATCTCTTGGGATTCTCTAAGTCAACTCTTTGTTTGTACTATAAATACCAGACATTACTTTCATCAGTAACATCCAAAACTTAGAGACAAAGAAGTGCAGAAACTTGAGTCTTTTCTTCTCTTGTCTTAATACTACATTTGCTTTTCTCAGTTTGTTTTTAATATAAGTCATATAAATGGAGAATGAGGATGTTCCGTCAGCTCCTTCAACTCCTGCAACACCAGGGACTCCTGGTGCTCCACTTTTCGAGGGGTTCAGGGGAGATCAAAGAGGTGGGATCAGTAGAAAATCCCTTCTCAAGAGCTGCAATTGCTTCAGTGTGGAAGAATGGTCCATGGAAGAAGGGAGATTACCTCCTATCTCTTGCTCATTACCACCTCCTCCAGTCTCACTCACAAGAAAGGTATTAAAAAGACAGCAGCAATAACAAGATATCTTTTAATTTAAAATTTGTTGTATATATGAAAATTCTCAATGACTTGATGTTTTAAGTTGTTGTGCTGTTCTTTATGGCTTAGTCCAACATATAAGTTGAAAATTCAGCTAAGGGATTTTCAAAGCTGTCCCAATTTCCCTTTTTTTTTGCAAAATCAGGTGGGAGCTGAGTTCATAGGCACTCTCATACTAATCTTTGCTGGTGCGGCCACAGCCACTGTGAACCAAAAGACACAAGGTTCTGAAACTCTGATTGGCCTGGCTGCCTCCACTGGCCTTGCTGTCATGATTGTTATACTCTCCACTGGTCACATCTCAGGGGCACATCTCAATCCAGCAGTCACCATTGCCTTTGCTGCACTCAAACACTTTCCCTGGAAACATGTAAAACTAAACTCCCAGCTTTTCCTTTTTCCTTTTTTTTTTTTTTCCTAAAGTTCTTATAGAAACTTTTATTATTTCTTTTAAATGACATTTTCACGTTCTAATTTTGGGCAGGTCCCAGTATACATTGGAGCACAAGTAATAGCATCATTATGTGCTGCATTTGCACTAAAAGGAGTATTTCATCCAATGATAGGAGGAGGAGTAACAGTTCCTTCAGAGGGAATTGGTCAAGCTTTTGCTTTAGAGTTTATTATTAGCTTCAATCTCATGTTTGTGGTTACTGCTGTTGCCACCGACACCAGAGCTGTAAGTGCCCTTTTTCATCTATTTTTTTTCAACTGTGAAATCAGCAAATCAAAGAGAATAGAGAAAAACTATAAACAATTGAGAACGCTTTTAATGCACGAACAGCTTCTACATGCAACTCCACACCAGAGCCATACTGGAAAAGACATCTCAATCAATAATTTTCATTTAAAAACTGTATGATTTAATCTTTTGTTCATCTATTGATACATCTAACTTTTACAATGCATAAAATAAGGCTATATCATAATTTGAATCTAGATCATTGGAAGTTTTGCATTTTAACCAACAGACCATGCTGCTATTGGAATTTTTTATTTTCAAACTTTAAGAGACAAGAGTCAATAAATATGGTTGGCAACCTAAAAAGCTCAATCTCCAATGTATAAAAATAAAACTAGAAGATAAAAACAAATATAAAGTTGTTCATATCCCCGGAATTATAGGTCAAGGGGGAGAAATACTAAGATATTGCACCGATCTTCACTTTCATTTTTCACATTATTCAATTTTATATCATTTCAAAGGTGGTTACAAGGAATTGATTCTTACCTTCTCTTGACTCACTAAACTTCCCTTCATGAGACAAAATTATAGTGTAGGCAGGCATCAATATTCTGTAAATATGATATCAGAAATCATTGCTCTATGAAAATTTGAGTAGAGAAAACTGTAAACTGATGTTTAGGAAGATGCATATGGAATCTTGTAATGTGAGGGATGGCAATGTGCAGGTGGGAGAGTTGGCAGGAATCGCGGTTGGAGCTACTGTCATGCTCAATGTACTGATAGCAGGGTATGTTGCTGAAATTTTCAATATTATTGTTATTGTTATTATTAATCAAGAAGATTTGTTAACAAAGAGAAAAGCAAATAATAAAGAGATAACTTGTGAAACAAGCAAAGTCATTAATGTTTCGGTACAATTTTGATTAACCTATATTTGTAAGGTTTTCATATTATGTCAAACAGAAAAAATTATTGTGTTCAATTTGTTTGTATACCCCAAACACAAAACATTTTTTTTTTGTTTTTATCAAATTTATATATAATTTTTATTAAAATTTTAAATTATATTGTTTGCATGTTTTCTTTCGTATCGTTTTTTAGTTATATTATTGTATCAAGTTTTGTGGTAAGTATTGGAAGCTCTGTTTGCAAAAAGGAGATTAGATTCAGAAACATATCTTGTTTTAAGGGGCTTTTTCTTCTTGGCAAATACAGAAGTTGATTTATTAGTTGGGATTTAGCCATCCCAAGTAGGATAATGTTTATCCATAACTTGAGGAAGAAGTTGTCAGTAAGTAGACAATTAGCACATGTTTAGTGATTCAAGACCCCGTGCTTCACTGATCAAGAGATTAAAATATATTGCAGACAACTAGATGTTAAGACCTATTGGACGCATTTTTTAATCATATGCTTCAAAACATCTCAGCGAAGCATTTGTTGGCACGATTTTTCGTTCCAAGTATGAGAATGAATAGCTGTTCCTAGACATTAAAGGGCCACTGTTGACTCTTGTTTATTTTGACATGATCTTCCACCTTCCAGCAATTAGATAACATACAGCTTTGATTTTAGATTGTCATCATAAATTATGACTTTGGACCTGCACAATAATCCCGATTTGTTAGCACTTAGCAGAGCGCATTCAATTTCAATTTCAATCACAAATATGATGAGGGATAGCTGTTAGAAATATATTAAAGATGTAAGTCAAACCAATTCTGATGCCAAAGACAACTCAGTGCTACCAATTATGAAACACACATCCAACTATCTAAGTTCCAAGTCCAACCCCCTTTCTTCATTTTCTTCTATCTTTACAAAAAAATTCAGAGATTAACTTGATTGATTCATATTTATTTGATAGGTGTGAGTTTGAATCTCAGTATCTGTAAAACTTTTATCTATTTTCAACTATAGTCTCCTTTGTAAAAAATACAAATAAAAATCTATTAAGTGCAACATTTGGAAACAACACAAAATGAAAAAGGGAATATGGGAGGATCATAATTGGAGCTTTAAAATTTTCTAGAATAACTTCATCTGTTAAAGAGCTTTAAAATAAACCCTTCCTCTTCTCTTTACCAAGCCTTACCACATTGAGAATGTCATGCTCCCAATGCTAAGCACCTGATGAGTTGCATGATGATAATCCTTAAAATTCCCTTTTTTTGTGCCGTGGAACAGACCATTTACAGGTGCTTCAATGAATCCAGTAAGAACATTGGGACCAGCCATAGCTGCAAATAACTACAAAGCTATATGGGTCTACTTCACTGCCCCCATCCTTGGGGCACTATGTGGTGCAGGAACCTATACTGCTGTCAAGCTGCCTGTTGAAGATGGTGAAAAGCCATCAACCGTAAGGAGCTTCAGAAGGTAATTAGCATCCATCAACAGCCTGCATATCAGAACTTCATGAGGAGACCTTGCAGAGACGACCAGGGGGACAATTTCATAATTCTGAAACATTAGCATTTGAATATAAATAAGCGAACTACGTTTATCAATCACATATATATGTGTAACAGCATAGTCAAGCATAGCTGTTCCTGCAAAAAAGGGGAAAAAAAAAAGGCAGGAGAAATTATGAGTTGACTTTCATTTGCGAGTGTATATTGGAGTTTGGCTGGGTTAAAAAAGCTTCCAAACACTGATCTCCTGGGCAAATGACCTGAAAAAATAAAAAAAGGTTATTGTGTAGGTTTATTTCTACTTGTCTTTTATTGTTTTCCCTTCTTTTCTTCCCCCTTTAAAGGCCATTTAAAAACCAGAGGATTGTGAAAGCGAGATTGCATCTCTCACAGTGTATTTTCTTCCAACTGCTCAAGATTCTTTAGCTCCTTTAAGATGAAATTTTATTATTATCAAACAAATAAAAAAATTTTTCAATTAACATAATTTAATTTTATATTGGTGTATAATCTGCATAAAAAATGTATCAATTTGATTAAAAAAAATATGAGGGGCTATAAAACTAATTTAATTAAATATTAATGTAACTTAATCTCTTTTCTATTTGAATATTTATAGTATTATTTATTTCTCTATTTAGAACAAATTAAAATGGACCCTTAGTATCACAATTCACAAACTTTTCTTTAATGGCATCCCATAAAACAAATAAAAAGATTAGCGTACAAATAATTGGTTTTTGATGTTATCAACCATATGATCTTTTAATAAAGTGTTAAATTTTTAATTATAATAATTATATTATTTTTTTAAAAAAGTATGTAGTAAATATCTTTTTATTAAAAAGGAGAAAATTGAAAAAATTTTAATAATTGTTTATGTTTAATTAAATAATTTTTAATATTTATTTTTAAGACTCTTAACCTTTTAATTTTTTTAATAAAAAAAACTTAGATGAAGAAAGGCTTTTTCATTTTAAGATATGGTAAACTATAGGGGTTTCAAATATTACTATTATTGAATTACAAAGTTCTGCCATGAAAAATAGTTGATAACAAAACTAAAAACTACCTTCCAAATAAAATATTTAAACCCTAAACTCCATTGGTTTTGCGAAAAATAATTTTTATATTTTTAAGTGTTTATTTGACAAAAAATTAATTAATTAATAAAAAATAATTTTTTAATTAATGAAAAATAAGATCATTTTTTTTAAAATTGTCTTATGAATTTGAAAAAAAAAAGACATTTTTTAAAAAAATTGTTTATAAGTAGAACTATTTCTCAATATTTTTTAGTATAATTTTATTTATAAATAATATATTAATAAATAATATTATACATACAAAAAATATACTATTAATATAATATATTAATATATACTATTATATTAATAAATCATATATTAATAAATAATATTATAATATATTAATAAATAATATTATATTAATAAATAACAATATTATATGAAAAAATAATATTGATTTAATTAATAAATATTATAATAACAATTAATAAATAATATACTATTAATATAATATAGGAATAAATATTATTAATAAATAATATATTAATATATTAATAAATAATATAAATAATAATAAATAGTTTTATTTTAAGTTTTTTTATATTAACATAATATTTTAATATTAAATATATTATTAAAATATAATCATTTTTTAATATTAATAATTTTAATAATAAATAATTTTAATATATTTTAATAATAAATAAATTTTAATAATTATATTAATATTATTTTAAAAAATTAAAAGAAATCAAATAATGAAAAATATTTTGCATTATCTCATTCAAATAAAAAAACACTTTTAATTCAAAAAATATAAATATATTTTAAAAATTATTTTTCAAAAATTATTTTGTACGAAACATATTGGAGGCTTAATAACACAGTTAATCTCACACTTGACCCTTCTCGACCTTGGCCCTTTTAATTTACTAATAAACGAAGTGGCAATGATGATTGAGGATTTATCAATTTTTTTATACCACGATTCCGCGTTGCTTCTCTTTCTTTCTCTTTATTGTAGAATTTTCAGCAAAGTCCAATTGCACCTCACCACACGGAATCCAATACATTGCAAAAGCAAGATAAAGTTTTAGGAGTGTTCATCGACTTTTTATTAACTTTTTTTTTTTCACAGAGTTTACCTTCTTGTTCTCTGTTATGGCTTCCTCTTCCTCCTCTGCCTCTGCTTCCTTCCGCCAACCAAAGCATGAAGTTTTTCTGAGTTTTAGAGGTGAAGACACACGCAATAACTTCCTCTATCACCTATATGAAGCTTTGCGAAGAAAAGGGATTGGAGCTTATGCTGATTTCAAAGAACTTCCAAGGGGAGATGAAATTTCTCTCGCACTGTTGAAAGCGATCGAAGAATCAATGATTTCAGCAATCGTTTTTTCTCAAAACTATGCTAATTCATCATGGTGCTTGGAAGAACTGTCCAAGATAATGGAATGCAGGCATTCCCGGGGACAGCTTGTGGTACCCATTTTCTACCATGTTAACCCATCCGATATACGGAAACAAACTGGGAGTTTTGGAAAAGCTTTTGTTGAACATGAAAAAAACAGGATACACAAGGTTCAGGGGTGGATACATGCTTTGACTGAAGCTGCCAACTTAAGTGGTTGGTCTTTGGCAGGAGATAAGTAAGTAGTTGTTTTTCTTACTCTAAGCTTCTTCCATTATTGGTTAGTTTTATTCTTAGTATTTCTTTAGCTCTTTTTGGTGCCACTGTTTTTTTTTTTTTCCTCTCTCTATTTAATTTTCAACATGTATGTTGTTCAATTCGATAGGCCTGAGCTCATAGTCATCGAGGATATTGTTCAAGATATTGTAAACAAGTTGAATCGGTTGTCTAAAAGTGATCACAAAGGCCTCATTGGAATAGGCCCTCATATGGAGCAAATTAAATCGATATTGTGCATTGGTGGGGAAGATGTTCGCATTATTGGAATATGGGGAATGGCTGGTATAGGCAAAACAACTCTCGCTCAAGCTGTATATGATGATGTCTCTGGTCAATTTGAAAGTTGTTACTTCTTGGCAAATGTTAGAGAGGAGTCAGACAAACATGGTGCAATCACTTTACGTGATAAACTTCTTTCCAAATTATTAAACGAGGAAAACCTCCATATCGGTACTCCTAGAATAGGATCCGCATTCATTAAGGATAGACTCTACCGTAAGAGAGTTCTTATTGTTCTTGATGATGTCAATGATTTGGACCAATTAGAAATATTGGAGATTAGCCATGACCACTTTGGTTTTGGTAGTAGAATCATTGTAACATCCAGAGACAAACAAGTCCTTACAAATGGGTCAGTTGATGGAATATATGAGGTTAAGGAATTAAGTTACAATGACTCTCTTCAGCTTTTTTCTCTGTTTGCCTTCAAGCAAAATCACCTTGTTGATGATTTTAAGGATCTATCAAATAATGTTTTGGAATATGCTAAAGGCGTTCCAATAGCTCTTAAAGTCTTAGGTTCTACACTTTATCAGAAGAGCATAGCATATTGGGAAAGTGCATTGAATAGACTAAAGCAATATCCCAATCCAAAAATTCAAAACATGCTGAAGATTAGCTTTGATGGGCTGGATGAAGTCGAGAAGAATATATTTCTTGATATTGCATGCTTCTTTAAATGGTATGATAAAGATAACATAACAAAAATACTGGACGGTTGTTATGGTTGCACTGCTCATTGTGGAATTACCAACCTTATTGATAAATGCCTCCTAAATGTTACAAAAGAGAACAAGCTTGGCATGCATGATTTGCTACAAGAAATGGGTAAGAATGTTGTCCGTTTAGAATCCCAAAGGCCTGAAGAACGTAGTAGACTATGGACTCCAAGTGACGTTTGTCGAGTGTTAAAGCATGGCACAGTAAGAGCTAACTGCACTAACTTTTTTTTTCCTTTTCTTCATTACTTGCTAAATATTTGATGCATTCCAGTAAATTATTGTTTATTGTTGATTTTAGGGGACTAAATCAACCGAGGGAATATTGCTAGACCTGTCTCAATTTGATGAAATACAGTTACATCCATGTGCTTTTGCAAAGATGCATAATCTTAGAGTTGTCAAATTCTATGATCCTACATTTTCTGGGAAGGGAGGTAAATTGGTTCCTTTGCATCAAGGCCTAAAATCTTTTCCTAATGAGTTAAGGTATTTTCATTGGGAGTATTGCATGCTGAAATCTTTACCCTCAAATTTTAGTCCAGGGAATCTTGTTGAATTAATATTATCCAACAGCAATGTTGAACAACTTTGGAATGGAGACCAGGTATTCTTTATTTTCATAAAAAAATTAATATTTATTCATGTTTTTTATTTTTTTAATAGCCTATAAGTTTAGAGGCTTTAAATTAATCTGCTTTTTTTTTGCACTTTCATTGCACAGAATCTTGTGAATTTAAGGGTGCTTGATCTTTGCTATTGCGAGAATTTAACCAGGATTCCAAATTTGTCAGCAGCCATAAATATTGAAATACTGTTAATTGATGGATGCAAAAGCTTGGTTGAACTACCGTCCATGATTCATTTGAAATCTCTTTACCATGAGCAATATGTTAAAAGTTGTAAAAATTTGAAGAAGTTTCCTGAGCTTCCACAGCATGTAGATTGGTTGACTTTACAAGACAGTGCAATAGAAGAGATTCCTGAGTCAATCGGGTATCTGGACCAGCTTACGCTATTAACTTTGAGTAACTCAAGGGTTAAAACTGTTTCAAAAAATATTTGTAAGTTGGAATCTCTTGAAAGTTTCTATCTTGTAAATTGCCCGATGGTCCTATTCCCAGAAGTTCCCAGGAACTTAAAAAGATTATACTTGCATGGGAATCAAATAGAAGAAGTACCTTCATCTATTGGATGTCTCAATCAGCTTGTTCATTTGGATATGAGAAGCAGCCAGATTCATAATCTTCCAAGCACTATTATTCAGCTGGATGCCCTTAAAGAAATTTTCCTCTCTGATTGCCCAAACATCACAACTTTTCCAAATGTTCCGGAGAACATCAAACTCTTATTTTTGGATAACACTCCAATAGAAGAGGTGCCTTCATCAATCTCAAGGCTTAAAAGCCTTTCCTGTTTGAGTGTGGCAGGCTGCACAAGGCTTAAGAGCCTTCCAACCAGCATTTGTAAGTTAAAATCTCTTGAAAGACTTTATCTCAATGGGTGTTCAAACTTAGAGTGTTTCCCAGAAATCTTAGAGACTATGGAATGTTTAATTCATCTTGATTTGAGTGAAACAGCCACAAAAGTGTTACTTTCCTCAAATATATTTGGGTTGGGCGGTAGTAGAAACCTAAGCGTCCCTAGCAGCTTTTGCAATTTGGTCTTTTTGCAAGAATTGCATCTATGTGGAACAGATATAGTGGAAATTCCTAAGAGTATCAAACAACTTTCTAATTTAATTTGTCTATATTTAATATCATGCAAGAGCCTTAAATCTTTGCCAGAACTGCCTCCATGTTTACGATTTGTAGATGCAGAAGACTGCACATCTTTAGAGAGAGTTTCAAACTCGGAACAATTTCAATATATGAAAGCTCAGAGATGTTTGTTAGAGTATGATTATCCTCTAGTTTGCAATTGCTATGTGTTCAATAATTGCTTTAACCTGGATCGGGATGCAATCAACAACATTATGGCAAATGCTCAGCTCAGAATTCAATGCATGGCAGAGGAATTTGCAATGGAATCTTACCAAGGTGCTGATCATGTTTATGATAAAAGTGTCCTTTCTTGTTTACCTGGAAGTGAAATTTCAGAGACATTCAAGAATCGGAGTACAAATTCTTCAATATCTGTCGAGTTGAGTCAAGCTTGTTCTAATAAAAGATTCTTGGGCTTTGTTCTATGCATTGTGGTTGATTTTGAGCACCATCATGAATGCAGAACTTTCACAGTCGAATGCAAATACCGATTAAAAACCAAGTGCGGTGATCATCACAATTTTGCATATAGCTGGAATTGGCCAAGCCATTTAGTTCAACACATATGCTTTGAGTCCAAGCATGTGATCCTTTTGTTTGATGGTTTTGAAAGTAGAATCATTGAAACATCTAGAAACAAGCATTTTGATGAGGCCTCATTTGAATTCCACGTTGAAGCTACTGACTTTGAATGGAACAAGGAGCATATCAAAGTGCAAAAATGCGGTGTCAATGTATTCTATGTGGATGCTGTGAGATCTAACGACAAAGGGGTTGAATCCCGCAGAAATTATAGGTCTGATGGTGAAGAGGCAGTGGACCCAACCATTGAGACATTGGAATCAAGCTGCCATGTTAATTTGTCATTCGGCCAAGATGAAGAGAACAGATGTGATGCTTCCATGATGGAACCCACCTCTACAATTGGTCCAAATCAGCTTTCCTTAAAACGCAATGTAAACAATAGAGATTTTGAAAGATCAATGATGGAAGAAGATGCTAGTGATGAGGAAGGCCATGATGATCCTACGTCTACAATGAGACCTAGGAACAAAAGAAGTTTTAGCTCTAATGAGGATGAAGAACCAAAGCCTGAAAGACTGAAATACTTTCATTTCTTTTGAGGAGGTGCAAGTTCTCAAACGTATCTTGCTTTCTGATCTTATTTAAAGTCCAGGCAATTTAGTTCCAAAGTATTGGTAAGTCACCCTTAAATTCACTTTGTCATCACTTATAAATGTTGGTAATTTGTCAACGAGATACAAATGTGTAATTATTCCCAGTTTCTCATCGGTCAGTGGTCACATATCTCTGATCTACTAAGTATATCTGAAGCTCAAATGCCATAAATTTTCTTTTCAAATTCACACTTCCACTGAATTTTGATGGAAAAATTACTACTAACTAGGATGAGATCTTAGTTTCTTCGCAATTGCTTACCATATAGGAGTTGGCATGCCAATTGTTTGATAAAACGAAACATTCTAGTTCTTTGTTTATGTAAGTGGTAAAAGTGGAGGGATTTATTCATACCAAAAGTAAGAAAGGAATATCTTTCAAGAACTTATGATTGGTGATAGTTTCTTAAGGCTTTCCTTCTCCCCTTCCCTCATGTTTTGTTTGTTTTGTTTCAAAGATAAAATTTTGGCAAAAGAAAATTCTCGCTATTGATTAATTTAGGGCAAAAGCAAATGAGATTTTGATGGCATTAGCAATGAAAGTTTGCTTGAGGTTCATAAAAATCCATAAAAGAACTTGGATACCGAAATTTTTTAATTTGTTATGTTTTAGTCTCTTCTCTTGGGAAACAAAAAAAAAATCGAAAAAACAAAAGAACAAGAAATGCTTTCAGCTTAGAATCTTACGCATTCCTTTATCCTTCAGTTTCACATTTTGTTTCTGCTTACTCTTTCCTCATTTTGTTTTCTCCTTTCTCTTTCTTGACTCAATGTTGTGTTTTCTCCTCTGATGGAGAGATAACTTTGTTTTTCTTTTTTGAAATTTGCCTACACTTTTCAACTTTTTTTTAATCATTTTGGCTTTTAAAGTTAAGGTAAATAGTATGAAAATTTTGTGGTTTTTTAAGTAAGTGTTTTGTTTTATTATTAAATAGTTTTCTTTTTAATGGCAGTTGATTTATAATATGCATGCTCCTTTCCAAAATATTTATTTGAACCACTTGTGTGTGAAATTGCTTTTGCTTATAACCTTTGCATTTTCTTGATCTAGGCTTCATTTGTTGCTTTCCTTGAGATCCCTAAGGCCAGTTGGAATGCGAAAGAAGGTCCCTTCTGCCATAAAAGAGGTAATCTATTTTTTGCCTACGTTGATTATGCATTTTAGAATTATGACAGTATTTTGCACATTTTTTGGAACTTTAATGAAAATTCAGCCTTAACCTGATCTGACACTGTCGAACCTGCAGATTATGGGAGTTTCGATTATCCTCTTTGTCACCAATATAAAAGGTATCCAAAGAAATATTGAGTTTTCAAGTCCAGGTTGTGACAAATGAAATTTTTTCCCCTCAAATTAATTATGTTCTACCTTTTCATGATAAATTACAGAGTTTGATTTCAATATGATGTTATCAAGCTAGAGACTTACATCCCTTTGTGACAGCATGCTATTGCTGCTGACTCTGCACTTCCAGATCTTCAAGGTAAATTAGCTTCTATAACTAGGCGAAAGTGAAAGTTTTCCTTTTTCTTTTTTCTGAACAATTATATGACGAAAAACATCAATTCTTAAACTATCATGTGGTCTTGAATCTTAATCAATTTCAATGCTTTCTTAAAGCTGCATCAATGATGTATGCAGCAAGTTTATATCATCTGATTGTCAGGACTCAGTTGTTTTCATCTCATGGTAAAAAAAATAGCACACCTGCACCAACATCGAGAATAAGGTGAAAATAAAAAAAAAGAAGAAGAAAAAAAAGGAAGGAAACTATTTAAGAATGTTTAGCAATGAGGAGAGTCGCTACATTATCTTCTTTTTTGTCTATAACGTTTCTCCACAGTCAGGGAAATTATAGAGTTAAGTATATGGAAATTATCAAATACACTAACAGTAGGGGTTTTAGACTTCACAAGCAGGGTTCGTAGGGTGACAAATACTTTTTAGGGTATATTAAAAAATAAAAAATTAATTAAAAAAAGAAATGGGATATATGTTAATTTCTTAACCCTGCTTGTGGAGTTAAGAAACTACACTAACTATGTATCAAATAATTTCTCTTATCATATATATATAAAAGAAAAGTAGAAAAAATAAAATGTATTATGTAAGTCAAGGATCAATTGTGAACATATCAATTACTGATAGATAAATTCCTTGGTTAAGCTTTTTGTAGCTGAAAACCTGTGCATGCCCTCAATTCGATTGAGGATTGCCACTTGTTGCTTAGAGAAATTATTTATAATCTTTAACGGGGAATGATTCTGGTCTCTAAAGGTTTAGTGCTTGTAAAGTTATGAATAATTTTGACAAAACGGTCACTACTCTGAGATTAGCCTTGGCTTCCTAAATTTGCTTCTATTAAGTGAATGAAGATGCAAATGATTGATCTAAGCAAAAGATGACAAAACACAGTTCTAAAGCAAAGGATAAAACAGAGTACTAAGGCAATGCCAAAACTCTAAATGAAGACAATTTAAGGTACTAGCCAACTGGAAAAACTTTTACTTATTACTATTTACATTAAAATACTACTGTTCCTTTTATATATATATATATATATATATATATATTAAGTTTCTAAATAATGGTTCCATGATGAAATTGAATGGAAGCACTTTAGTTTCCTTGCTATCTTTGAATATGAATGATATACAGAAAGCCAAAGAGATGTCCCATGTGCTTTTCAGTTGTTATATGGAAGATTTTGGGTAACCTGTTAGATAAACTCAATGAATTTGTAATTTAAATAATCTGGAATTAATCTTCTCAGTTTCCTTTCAATATTTGTTTGATTTGCAATGACATACTTTTCTAAAAGTTATCAAATAAAGTTTGTTTGCATACTCAACAGGCATACTGACTCAACAGGCAATGTCAAAAATTCAAATGAACCTAAAATGATGTGTTTGGCCATATTAGCATTTGAGATAGAATTCAACTCTATTTTTTACTTCTTATATCACATCTTTGGCTAAAATTTCTCTACTTCTTTGAACAAACATTATTCTTCATTTTTGTTGGGTATTTGTATTTAATAGGAAAGTCAATCACTTTCTATTTTGGTATCATTGCAGGAGGAGATTACATCTTGGTTGCTTTTGAGATATGGTTAGAGATTACATCTTTAAGAGGGAAGGAGGTTTTTATTAAATCGGTCCTGCAGTCAATGTCATCCTTTGCCATGTCCTGTTTTATGTTCCCCAAAAGGGCTATGCCCATCAACATGATCATCAGTAAATTCTGGTGGAGGAAATCAATGGAGAAAGGCGGTATACAGTGGGGATCATGGCACCAGATGTGCATGACAAATTAGACAATTATAGACACTCATCTATGTTCGGGACAAATCGGAGTCAATTTTCTTATTACTATAGTATAGTATGGTATTATTATTAGAACTATTTAGTATGTGATATTGTGTGTATATATATATAATATATATCAGTATTATTATTATTATTATATTGTTACTCTTATTGTATTATTATTACTATTATTATATTATACTACTATTATATTATTATTACTATTATTATTACTATTATTATTATTATTATTATTATTATTATTATTATTATTATTTTCTTCTTTCCTTTCGCTCCAATCCACATGTGAACAAGGAAATCTGGAAGGGGATTAGGATCAGAATCCCACCAATGTGGTCAAGGTTTTAATGCAAAATCAAATCAGTATGATTGCTGAAATTGTGGACCTAAAATCACATTGGATAGAACTCAATCTCAGGATTCAAGCTTGTGATTGATTTTGTCTGTTTGCTAAAATTGGTTCTTAAGCTGCTTATAAATTGAACTAAGGATCAGAGGTGCAACATACGGAGAAAACCTTAGCCAGACTACCCTTTCGATAAGTCCTTCAACTAAAGCAATCATATGGTGGTCTGAACATTCGATGGGATTAGACGAGAGGTTTTGGGAGATATTGAACTGCCTATACAAATTGGGCCATGTGTTTTTAACATAAAGTTTTAAGTCATAGATATCTTCCTGTCGTATAGTTGCTTATTGAAAAATCGTGGATCCATAAGGTAGGCACTGTTCTTTCCTCGTTGCATCAAAATATCAAATTCAATGTGAAAGGACAATTAGTGATTGTGGCCCGGAAAGAAGACTTATTGGTAACCCAACCTATAAACACCCCATATGTAGAAGCTGCAAAAGAATCATTGGAATGCTCTTATCGATCTTTTGAAACTATCAACATAGTAGGTGAAGAGCTCAAATTCAGCAGAATTATGATCAATTAGATGATCAATAAGGGTTAGAGTATCGGGTCTGGTTTGGGTAAGAGTCTACAAGGGATAAGAGGGCCATAAAAACTTGAAGACAATAGTGGTAGAGTAGGATTGGGTTATGAGATGAAGAAATCCGAAGCAACAGCAAAAGGACAAAGAGTGGGATGATAGTTGTTCCTTACATAAATGAAACTTTCATTCTTGGAGGATACATGTACTTGAGAACTGAAAAAGATACAAAAAAAAAAAAAAACCAAGATGGGAGAAAGCTTTTGCCAAGTTATCCATTCATGTGATGGATAATGAAAGTCAAAATGAGAAAGCTTTAGTTTACCCATGCCCACCTGGCTATGAACTAAAAATTAGAGGGTCATCCAAATGCCTGTTTGTTTCTGATATTTTCTCAATGTAATCTCATCTCCTAACTATTTATGCCTAAAAGCGTTGGGATAAACTTTTATGTTTGGGCCTTTTAATTTTGAAAATTCAATTAATACTGATGAACTTAATATTGAAGAAAACTTTGAAGAATACACTTTATCTCCAGATTTAATGAGATTAATCGAACAAAAAGATAAATCCATCAAGCCTCATCAAGAAGCTGTTGAAATGATCAATTTGGGTGATGCCAAAAATAAAAAAGAAGTCAAAATTGGCACTTCGTTTTCAACGGTTAATCAACCATGATTGAGGATTTGCTTTAAGAATTTGTAGATATATTTACTTGATTTTACCAAGATATGCCTAGGCTTGACACTGAAATAGTAGAACAAAAGCTACCCTTAAAGTCAGAATGCAGATCAATGCAGCAAAAGTTGAAAAGAATGAAGCCAGAGATGTTATTGAAAATAAAAAAAGAAGTAAAAAAATAATTTAATGTAGCTTTCTGCAAGTAGCTAAATATCTTAAATGGGTGGCTAATATAGTATCTATCCCCAAAAAGGATGAAAAAGTACGAATATGTGTAGACTATCGAGATCTTAACAGAGCCAGCCTGAAAGATAACTTTTTCTTGCCTCACATAGATACTTTCGTGGATAACACAACTTGACACTCGATAATTTTTTTCATGGATGGATTCTCTAGATATAATAAGATAAAAATAGCTCTGAATGACATGGAAAAGACCACATTTATAACTATGTGAGGAACCATTTGTTACAAAGTTACACTTTTTGGACTGAAAAACGTGGAGGTAACCTATCAGAAGGCCATGGTAACATTTTTCATGATATGATGCATAACGAGATTAAGGTATATATGGATGACATAATTGCAAAATCTTGTAAAGAGGAAGATCATGTAGCTAATCTCAAAAAATTGTTTGAAAGGTTAAAGAAAGTTTCGGCTCAAGCTAAATTCGACCAAATGTACATTCAGAGCTGTAAGTCAGGAAAACTGTTGAGATTTATAGTCAACGAAAAAGGGATAAAAGTTGATTCGGACAAAATTTGAGCCATCCAAAATTTATTTTTGCCAAGCACGCAAAAAGATGTTCAAGGTTTTCTTAGACATATTGAACTATATCTCCCGATTCATTTCTCAACTCACTTTTAAATGTGATCTCAATTTCAAACTCCTTCAAAAAAATAATCTCGACGAATGGAATGATGAATGTTAAGAAGCTTTT